CATGTGCCCGGCGGTGGGGACGTCGTGATATCGGCGTAGGATGTCGTTTCTGGCCTCCTTGGATACGCAGAGCTTCCATTGTTCTTCTGCGGCGGTGTCCTTGAAGTTGAGGCTGTGGTAGAGGAGGCGATACAATCTACCGTCCTCTATACGGTAATCGGTGTGCGCGGTGGGGTCTTGCTGCACCCCTTCGAACTTTCGGCGGTACCAGGCGCATTCCCGGTCTTTCGCGGCGCAAGTTACCGGGTGACGTGATAGCGCGTCGGCGACACGATTAAGTACCCCGCGGCGGTACTTTACGTCGAAGTCATACTGCTGGAGCTCGAATACCCAGCGTCCGAGGCGTCCGGTCGGAGACTCTATTTTTTGTAGCCACCGTAGGGCCTGGTGATCTGTCACGACGGTGAAGGAGTACCCTTCCAGGTAGCTCTTCATTCGCCGGATACCCCATACGATAGCTAGGCATTCGAGCTCCGTGGCGCTATAGTTGCGCTCGGCCGCGTTTAAGGTGCGGCTTGCATAGGCGATCACGCGTTCGCCTTCCTCGAAATTTTGCGTCAACACTGCCCCGAGCCCGGTCGTGCTAGCGTCCGTCTGGAGGAAAAATCGGCGCGTGAAATCGGGGCAAGCTAAAACCGGCGCTGAACTCAAAGCGTGCTTAAGTTGAGCGAACGCGACGGCCTCCCCCTCGCCCCACTTCCATCGGGCGTTTTTCTTCGTTAACTGCGTAAGTGGGGCCGCGATCGCGGAGAAGGCTGGGATAAAACGACGGTACCACGATGCCATCCCCACGAATTGTCGTATTTGTTTGACTGACCGTGGTTCTGGCCAGTTGGCCACAGCTTGAATTTTCCCGGGGTCGGTCCGAATTCCCTCCCGGTCAATTACGTGCCCCAGGTACGTCAAACGGTCAACGCAGATTCGGCATTTCTCCGGGTTCAGACGGAGGCGCGCGTCACGAAGACGGCGGAAAGTCTCCTGCAGCAGCTCGAGATGGTGGTCGAACGTCCGGCTAATAACGATTATGTCGTCGAGATAAACGAACACGTGCGGCTCTAACTCTGGCCCAAGGACCGTGTCCAGTAACCGCTGGAACGTGGCCGGGGCGGAATGCAACCCGAATGGCATGACTCGGAACTGGTAAAGCCCCTTCCCTGGTATCGTAAACGCGGTGACCGGTCGGCTGCTTGGACTCAGAGGTACCTGCCAGTACCCGTTCTTCAGGTCTAAGGTCGACAGATACCGGGCCCCTCGCAATTTGTCGAGAGTTGCAGTGATCTGTGGCAGCGGATATGCGTCTTTATGAGTCATCTCGTTGACTCGGCGAAAGTCGATGCAAAAGCGTTGACGACCATCCTTCTTTTTGACAATGACGATGGGCGAGCTCCAAGGACTATGCGAGGGCTCGATGACCCCCTGGGCGAGCATCTCCTCCACCTCGGTGTCGATAATCGCCTGCATTGCCGGGTTGCGCGGCCGGTATCTTTGTTTAATTGGCGTGTTATTAATGAGCCGAATGGTATGCTGGGCCCGATCGGTGGGCCCCTTCACGGTATCGAACTTCGTGAGTTCGTCTCGTAAAAATGCTTGGAGCCGCTCATTTTCTTCAGTGGTCCTGCCGGCTAGGCCCTCGACCGTGCAGCACCGCTGGTGCCACTGGAGCACCCGCAGCGGCGGAGCCGGCGTGCTTATGCGTAATTTTGCCTGCAGATCTACTCCCATCAGTATCTCGCTCGAGAGGCCCGTCAATATCCCGAAGGTGTGGGTCGTAGTTCGGCCGGCCGCTTCCACCGGCAGGTTCATTTTCCCCGCGAGTTCCGTGTCTCGATCGTCCGCTAATTGTATTTGGCTTTTCCCCAGAATCCATGCGAAACCCGCACGTCTCAACGTTTCGGCGGTTCTCTCGTTGATTAGCGAGATCTCGGACCCTCCATCTATCAGTGCGTCGAACATGAATTCCCCGATGCGGATCGGGGTGTGTGGTCGCGGCTTGAAGGTTACTCGGGGCTGGGAGTCACGGCGGCGACCTTCTCCCCAGCCCCGTCGGCTTTTCCCGTCGGCGGGTGACACTGCGCGGTTAGCACCCCGTCTCGACCGCATTGCGAGCAGAACTTCTTCGCGGGGCGTCGGCATTGCCGGCGCGTGTGCCCGCGTTGCTTGCAACGCCAGCAGCACTCGGCTTTATTGTAGGCGGCCGCCACGGCGGGTTTTGTTTCGGCCTTTTCCCTTTTGAGTGCCTCCTGTCGTTCGCTTACCAGGTCCTCGTGTTCGCGAGCGCGTGCTTGAAGCTCGGAAATATCGTTGATGTCGCGGCGCCGGATGTAAAATTTGTATTCTGGGTGCATGTGGTCGTATAAATACTCGAGCTGCATACCGGGTGAAAATCCGCCGGCCCGACGCATAAGCGTCATCATTACCGTCGAGTATTGCGCGAATGTCTCGTTAGCCTTCTGGTGACGATTTTCGATTTCGCGGCGGAGGGAGGCGTCGTACCGATGGGGCAGAAACTGCAACCGAAATGCTGCCTCAAATCCCTGCCAAGAGGCCCAGCTGGTCCGGTGATTTCGGTACCACAAAAGGGCGTCTCCCCTTAATATCTCCGATAATCCGCGCAGTAATTGATCCTCACCGATGTGGTAGTTCTCGCGGAATTCGGCAAGCCGCTCCAGAAAGGCGGCGGGATCACGTCCATCAAAGTGGAAACCACTCTTACGGAGTTGGTTTATTGCTCGGTAATCCGGCAACGGAGGGGTCGCGAAATCTCCGGGCGCATCGCGGTCCAAAGGCGAGGACCCCGTGATAACCACCTGCGGTAATGCCCCGGAGGGACCCGCTTGTTCGCGCGGATCAGTCGTGAATTCGTCCGCATGGGTGTCCGCGTACTCCCGCATACGTCGGCGGATGTCGTCGAGAGTGCCAGTGCTCTCTAACCCATAGCCCTCCGCTAGCACGGCCAGTTGCTCCTTCGGGAGCGCGTATAGCCACGACCTCATTATGCACGCTCACACCTTCGAGAAAACGCAGAACGAGAAACACTAATAAAAAAAAAAACGTCCCTGTTCGGGCGCCAATGTAACGGTCGTATTTCCGGACGTTTTTCTTAGCGCGGATAGATCGCCGGTGCTAGGTGTCTTTAAATGAAATACGCGGTGTGTGTGGTATAATTGTGTTTATTGCGTTTGTATGAAAGTGTGTACAGAGTCGGAGTGTGTAAATGTGTAGACGAGTGTGTGAGCGCGGACGTGGTTATAAAAGTTCGTATACAGGTTGCGTGGTTCGCGTAATTAAACCGAATATTAATGTGGATTAATTTCGGCCTCGCTGTCGCACGCCGGCGGGTGTTTACTATTGCGCGAGACGGCGCGCGTTTTTGCGGCGCTTTTTCGGCGGGGAATCCCGAGATTCCGAGAATGCTTCGGTTCTCGGAATCGACGATGATTTTCGCCGTACTATTTATTTCGCGATTTAAAGTCCGCGTGTAGATCGCCTATGCGCTTGAACGCGGCGGTGTTTATGCGTCTGTTTTTAGATGCGCGCACGTAATTGCATGTGATGCATGCAACGATGCTCGGTGCGTATAGCCCTGGTTTTTATTCGCGAAGGATGGATTGCGCGATGCAGCTGGATCGGTAACTCCCGATCCGGGGCGGCTCAAGCTCCACCTTCCGTGAGGGTTGCAGCTGCGGATTAGGCGGATTGCACTTTTGGCGTCAGAATCGAGAACTCTCGTTCGGAGACGGAGCACGCTCCACCTCTGTCTTCAGCTCTTTCTGTGCGTTTGGTAGGATTTCTCAAGGATTGCTCTTTGGAAGCGTACTGCTTCAAGCGGATCGGAGAGATGTGATTAGCGTCAAAAATGTGGCCCTTTTTATACGAGCTAATTGCCCGCGTCGGCGCGTGACGGTATAACCCCTTCCGAACGGGTTTTCGGAAAACGGTACGGTCGGGCCCGTTCGGAGGGATTCGGGTAGGAGCCGAACGCGGGCTTTCGCCGGTCGACGGTTCGGGCCACATCGACTCTGTTCGGCGATGTTCGGCCGAATTTCGAATTTCGGCAGTTTTAAAAAGGTGGGCGCAACGCGCCCCTGCCTCTGCCCGGCGGGTGTTCTGCCGGGCGGCAGCTTCCGGCGGATGTCATGCCGGGAATCGTAACGATGCACCGGAATGCATCGTTACAATCGTATATATTTTAATCGTATATATTTAATAGTCATATTATTTTAATCGTATATATTTAATAGTCATATATTTTAATCGCATATATTTAATAATCATATATTGTAATCGCTATACATTACATCGCTGTATATTACATCCATCGTCGATAGTCGCGCAATTATCGAGAGCAAACAGGGAGGAGGACTCGAAGACCCCACGTTCTCTCAAACATTATATTAGAATATTATAATATATTAGAACATTATATTAAGCGTTATATATATTAAAACATTATATTAAACATTATATTAAACGTTATATTAAGCGTTATATTAAACGTTATATTAGAATATTATATTAAGCGTTATATTAAACGTTATATTAAGCGTTATATTAAACGTTATATTAGAATATTATACATTAAACGTTATATAAGTACACGTAGATCGCGCAATTTTTTTGTATGAATAAAGAATCATTTTTTGTATGAATAAAGAATCATTTTTTGTACGAATAAAGAATCATTTTTTGTATGAATAAAAAATCATTAAAACGTTCGTTCTTTTGATCACCTCTCTAGCGTGTCCGAGAGTATCTTCCCTCCCCTCCTATTTTATACGAATAATAATGAATAATAATGAATCGTTTGTTTCTTAAAAAAAAAAGTTCGTTCTCTCGATCATCCTTCTCGCGCGTCCGAGCGTATCTCCCCTCCTCTCGCCTCCTCCTTCTCCCTCGTACGACGCTTTCTCGCGTTCTAGAGAACGATATATCGCCGAAGGACGCGCGCGCGATAGTTCGCTACCGTCCCGACCCCCACGCGCTAGCGCCTTGCGAGAGCCATGACGCGCGTCGCGTTATCACTCGCGCTGACGATATCCCTGTTCGCGGCCGTCGCGGCGGCGCTGACTTACGATGACATTGCGGAGACGTCCCGTTATCTTCGAACTTACGGCTTTCTGGAGAACGAGGAGAATCGTCAGCAGTCGTCGCTATTGGACAACGCGACCGCCCTGAGCGAAGCGCTATCAATATTTCAGGAATACTACGGCCTGCCGGGAAACGGCGTTCTGACTGTGGAAACGATTCGCGTCATGCGCAGGCCGCGATGCGGTGTCGTAGACATTTACGCTTACAGCCCGTTAACGAGAAAGTGGCCGAGGACGCAACTCACGTGGAACTTCAAACTAGCGAACAGAGATACTCTGCGCACGACTCAGAGCGCGTTCGCTCTGTGGTCCGAGCAATCCTCTCTGACGTTCTCGCGCGACTCGCTGCGCCCCGATATACTGATATCCTATCAATCCGGCGCTCACGCGTACGAGAACAGCGACAACGGGGGCTCGTCCCCGTCGCCGTTCGCGGGACCGGGATCATTCGTCGCTCACGCGTTCTTTCCGACGGGAGAGCCCAATCAAGTGACCGAGATGCACGTCGACGAGACGGAGCCGTGGCACATCACGCTGACCAGGCCCTCGTCGGACAGGCTGTATCTCCTTCAGACGCTGACGCACGAGATCGGTCACACTCTGGGTCTGACTCACAGTATGAGGGAAGATTCGGTCATGTACGCGTACACGCCTTCGGAGGAAAGGCGATATCCGCTCAGACTGAGCATAGAGGACGTCATAAACGTGAGAAATCTCTACGGATCGAGAGAGACGACGAATCCTACGATCGTCGACGCTACTCAGACGACCGCGGCGACGACCACGACGACAACGGCCTCGACGACGACGACGGCCGCGGCTCCGCCGACGACCGCGAGGACGGTCAAGACGCCACTCGCTCCCTCCGATACCGCGGATCTATGCGCATTGAAGCGCATAGATGGAGCGCTAATCATGAATCATCGCCTGTACGTCGCGCGTAAACGCAACGTGTGGCCCGTCAATATGAGGGAGCAACGGAGTGCTCTTCTTGTTCGCCGACTACTTCCGACTAGTTCCTCCCCCGCAATCTCACTCCAGAGACCGTCGGGCGATATCGCGATATTCGCCGGTGACTACATCTACCTCGCCGATTCGAATTTTCATCTTAAAGCGAGATGGCCTAGATTCGTCGGATTTCCCCGCGACGCTAGGATAAACGCCGCGATAAACACGCACGCCGGGCGCAGCTACGTCATATACAACGACGATAAAATAGCCGAGATAAACGACTGCGCGATGACCGTCGCGAGGCACGGCGCTCTGCGGGATACGTTTTCCATGGGATACCATCCGCGATAACGGCCGCCTTCCGCCACGTCGACGGTAATCTCTATTTTCTGAAGAAACGCGAGTATTACGCGTACAGTGAGTTCATCGACGCGATAATCTCGGCCGGTCCCTTCGATCTTAGTATACTGGGAATAGAATGCCCAGCCGATGGCATTCTGCATCGATTGATCGAACTCGTCTCCAAGCTGTATCGTCTGGAATACGCGTCCTTCGAAAGACCGCGCAATGACGACGACGATGACGACTAAGATCAGGAAATCCTGAAACCTAACGTTAAGATTACATTTAATATGCTGTTCTAAACCGCTGTTCTAAACCGCTTCCGCTGCATTAATTAACGCGCATAACGCGCGCGTCGAGAATAAAGATATCGAGACGACAATCGAGATCGCGTCGTACATAAGGCGCGTCTCCCGGACGAATCTCTCTCTCTCCTCGCGACAACCAACGTTAACGACGCCGTCACCACCGCAGTGTTTTCCTATGAACATCGAAGCCCTGTTCGCGAGACCGATCATGTTCGTCGGACTCGGACAGGAGTACCGCAGAGTGTTCGGGGACTCGTCCGCGACGCCCGCAACTCCGTCGGCGCCGCCGATGACGGACCCCTTCGTCACCCCGCATAATCGTCGAGACGATTACGCGGCTTCCGCCAAGGACGAGGATTCCACCCGCGATCGTTCGGGCACTCCGCCCGTGATCAAGAAAGCTCGACTGTACACCGAGGACGAGTGAGTATACGCGAGTTACATCGCCCGAGCGCTCTCGATCTCCGCCTCGATCGGCTATTTTTCGTATAATAACGTCGTCTTTTTTTTTCTCTCCGATCTCGACAGATGGAATAGAAACTGGCTGTTCAAACGCGAGATCAATTTCGCGAGACATCCGATTCGAATACTAGGAAGACGATATCCGCTGACCAAGACGGCGTACAAGTACATCGGTATCGCCGTAGCCGTGATGCGCGAATCAAGTCGACATCGTCCTAGGAGACTGCCATGGAAAGGAGATATCTCTGACGCTCGACATATGGAAGGATCTGCTCGCTATGCGCAACGATATACTGCCGTATTTCGAGAACGACTTGGACGAGGCTGTGGCGCGCCCTCCGACGTCCATAATCGTCGGAACCGTGACGCTTCGATTCGGCAAGATAAACAATCTGAAGACGCTGCGATTCGAGACGCCGAAGAATCGCATCGCTCTGTCGCACTTCACCGTGAAGGCGTTGTTCGTTCTCGAGCTATGCGTCAATCGCATCATCGCGTCGTTGACCGGCATACTCGAGACCGTAGAAGCTAAGTTATCGCATTTTCTAGATATCGCGACGGAGACCGACCACCCCGGCGATATTCCGGAAGCGATTCGTCGACACGAGCACTTCAATGCGAACGATCTGATCGACTGCGAGTTACACGCTCTGCTATTCGGACTCTATCACAATTTGTAAAACGGTACGCGCGACGAATAAATGTATCGCGATCTCGAACCGTATACTTATCCGTATAACTGCGCTCGAACGAGGAGAAATGATCGCGAGTACCGATATTATTCTCGACGTATGTATCTACGCATGTAACTTCGTGATATAATAAATAAATAAATTGTACACGTAATTTATTCTCTCTCTCCTCGATTTACGTCACCCTCGTCTCTCCTCGATTTGCTACGAATTCCCTCCTCCTCGAAATAAATCTAATATACATCGTACATTATACATTGTATAAAATCGTACGTTATATAAATCGTATTACATCCCTTCCAGGCCTACGTCGAATACATCCGCTCTAATATTAACGTCGACCTTATCTCTATCTCGCGCGCGACGCGTTCGACGGGGCGATCGCCGCTTATCGCGCGTGCCTAGCGCGCCGCGTCCAGAGACGTTCCGACGCGTATCGAGGGACGCGCGCGCTCTCTCTCCCTCTCCCTCGCTCTCGCGCCGAACCCCTCTCTCGCCCGCTCCCCCTCGCCCTCCCCCCTCCGTGTGACGTCACGACCCTCCGTTTTTACCCACCCGACGGCGAGCGGCTCCCCTCGCCCTACCTACCCTCCCTGCTCACCCGCGCCGCCGTCACCCTGCCCCTCGGATATCATTCTATCTCTCTCGCTCCACGAGACCTCTCTCTCGCACCCGTGGCAAAAGCGGGTTAGAAACGGTATATTCTCCCTACTACGGGGTGATGCGGGAAGTAAACCGTCTGAAAGTGAGGTGAGACTGGTGGTTGCATTTTTTGCATGTGGTTTAGTTGCTCATATTCCTCGAGAAAGGCCGAGTATTCCGACTTAATATCTGGATTGGTATCTAGGCGTCGTTTCAAGGCTGTTAATCGCTGTATGGCTATTGACCGTGATTCTCCGATGTCAAGAGGAGGCGTCGTCTTAAAAGGAAGACGAACGATGTAACGCCCGTCGGCGGTTCGTGAATGATTATCAACGAAATGCTTTTCGCATTGTTCCTCGGCAGGAGACAGAATTTTAGAGCGTGGAATTTCTTCAGTTTCCCAGAACCGACGCAGATCATGCTCGAGGGAGCAATGAAAAACGTTTATCGTATGAGCGGAAGTCTTTTGACTTGGAGCTGATCCGGACAAAATCCAACCAAAGTGAGATCGTTGAGCGATCCCATAGGTTGCCCTATGGGTCCCTTCCGGATTCCATTCAAAATGACGTGCCCATAAATATCCGCGCCAATTATTATGTCAATGGGACTTGATCCTGTTGGATCATCGTCTGCTAACGTCGGAGAATTCAAGTGTCTCCAGTCAGCCACTGATGCGGACAATTGCGGCGCGTATTTAATTAGAGTATGGAGAATATACGCGACCGTTGTAAAAACTGGTTTAGGCTTTCCGCGGGGTACGAGTTCAATTATAGCGGAGTATCGACATGTGTCAGCATCGATACCTCCGACCGCGGAGATTTGAGCGAAGATTCGTTTTCGCTTTAAATACAAGGTTCTTGCTAATCTTTTGGAAATAAATGTGACCTCGGACCCTTGATCAATAAGGGCGCGAGATTCACAGGCCCGCCCGTCGGGAGACCGAACCATTACTTTCGCCGTGGCAAGTAAAACAGACGATACAGGTGCGCTTGAACACACGGCGGACATGGCGACGGCCATTGACGTTTCGGGCGCGTTCACGGTATCGGTCACGCTTAACGCATTAGATTGTGTCGCGCTCGTATCGCTAGAAGAGGCCGAATCAATATGCAGAAGAGAATGATGCCTCTTTTGACATGTGCGACATGCATATTTACTTTTGCATTCTTGCGCGGAATACTTTGTGCCAAGACAATTGAAACATCGGTTTGAATTTTTCACTAATTCGCGTCGCTGATTCGGACTCTTATTCAAAAATTGCTGACATTTACTAATATAATGCGGTTTTTTACAAAGTGTACATGGACCGGGAGACTGGTTAGAGAAGGTCGCATTATTCGCTTTTACGGTTTGATGACCTTTGGTACCTTCAGACGGCAATAGTTTTTATAGAGCGAGTGCGCGCGAAGAGATAAAATTAATTAAATCTTCGTAATTTGGCGGCGTCGATTCAGATCCCGTTTTTAGTTTCCAGGCGCGACGAGTGGCGGGGTCAAGCTTGAGCGATACAAAATAAACGAGAATATCATTAAGGATATCCTCTTGTGTTCGGTTTAAACGTCTTAAAGCTGAAAGTGCCTTATCGGCTTTGTCTCGCAAAGCGTGCAGTTCGACTGTGGATTCCCGATTGACGGGAGATAAATTGTATAATTCCGCAATATGAATTTCAACGAGTTTACGTTTATTTTCGAAACGAGAAGTTAACGCTTTCCAAGCGACGGCAAAATTATCAGCGATAACAGGAGTACCGGCTACAACATCGCGAGCTCTATCGGTCAAGTTTGAGATTAAAAAATGCATGCGAGCAAAATCGGATAGTTCGTGGTTTTTAATGATTAACGCTGTGAATTTATCGCAAAAATTTTCTCACTCGTCGGCCTTACCGGAGAACGGAGGTAATTTGATCGGCGGTAAATGTTTTAAAGAGAGCGCGGATTCCGACTGTATACGAGATACAGATCGGTCGCTTGATTGGAGCGGACTTACGCACGGTTCCAGCTCCTCCAAACATTCCGACATGAATGCAAATGCTTCCTGGTATATTTCCTCGTAGTGATTCCTCTGCTCTTCCCGGAAGTAGGCGATGAGTTCACGCTTGGACTCCGGAAACTGTTTCAGCAAAAGGCTGTGCCCTTCCAGACACTTATTCCAGGTATCCTTGAGTAATGTCAGTCGAGCTCGTATCTTGGCAGGAGTAAGATTGTTCCGGCCAATTTTCTTAAAATTGTCCACTGCTTTAGCTACAGAGCGTAACAGCGAGAGTTGGTTTTCCAGTAATTCGCTTTTCCAGTAATTGTCATTGATATTCACAACAGTCACAGTTTTCAAGTTCACTCACCGAACGGTTATCACGCTGTCTCAGAGTTCTCGCGATCCGGCTCGAAGGACCAAAATGTTCGGGATCGCACTTGTGAAATACGATTTTGTTTGCCGGGACACACCCGAGAGGGTAGCAAAGTCGCGAGTTTGCAAAGAAACGTGATTTCGAACTGGATGAGTGACGGGATGAAATAACGTTAAATTGCTCATTTAATTAGAACACAGTGACATCCACACAAGAGTGGCGATAAGTTTATTGCTCAGAATTGCGATATGTACAGAGTTTGTAAGCTTTGGATGAATGCGACTTTATTTCGTATATTTGCGGACATCGAGATTCATACTCGGTCGGCGAAATCGCACTATACAATTGTTCACTGATTATACGATACAACGCGTGATCAGCTGTTCGCGTGAGTGCGAGCAAGACGGCGCTCTATCGGCCGTTCGCGAGAGCGAGCGAGATTGCACAATTCACGGTTGTACGCACGAGATAGAGAGAGACAGCGTTACATCAGCTGTCTGCGAGAGCGAGCGAGACGGCGCTCTATTGGCCGTTCGCGAGATCGAGCGAGACCGCACTATT